ATTTTTTTTTTTTTTTTTTTTTTTCAGTTGCATCTTTTGCTTGTGACTATAGGACACAATACATTTCTGCACCATGGAAAAATAACTACTGTGGTGTCAGTCAGACATTTAATTCCTGAATTTTATGCTCAACTACGCTATTATAAGCATGTTGAATAGTCAAGTGGCATCCAGTGGAAAAAATAGTCTGTTCTTGTAAATCATACATTTATGTGATTATTTGGTTAAAGGAATTTCTGGTGCATTAAAGCCAGGAAACGCAACCATCTGACAGTTACCTGTGTACTTTCTTTAGACCATTTTGACTAAATCTCACTTTAGAAATGTATTTTCTGAAGGTGTACAGGAGAAAACTCCCCAAGGTTATGTTCCTAAAGACTTTGTACCTGTGTTACAGATGCATGGGTGGAATCACTGGCTCTGTGCCTGGACCAGGATAAGTGTCCACTTTTACACTGGATGCAGCCTGACCTTGGACATAATTGTGAAGAGGTCAAGTTTATTTTTGATGAATTTAGCTTATCATTTCTCCCCCCTTCCCTTCTTCCCTTCATGATACCTTTGCCTCCAAGAATTTTGTACTTGTCTCTCATATTAAAAGCTCTTTGCAGGAAATCAGACAGCATTCTAAAAGACCCAAGGAGTTACCCCATTGGAAGGACTTTTAATTTCATTGCAATCAAGTAAAGTGCTAAAGTGAAGTAGTAATTCTCAATGTGTGGCTTTCAGAAAAGCAGCATGAGCCTCACCTGAGAACTCATTAGAAATGAAAATTTTCAAAATAGTCACTAGGTTGGAGACATAAACTTGTGCACAGGAAAGTTTGAGAAACCCTTGCTAGGGGTGTTTAATCAGAAATTCTAATCGGAAAATGTTCAGGTATGAACTTACCTATAATATTTGGGACACAGTTGCTTCTTAATACCTATTAATCACATTACATTTATTCCAAATCAGGAGGTGGTTGGGACCCAGCCCACTTTCATATACTAATCCTCCCACCAAGACAGACATGGCAGAATCTGCATGAGTCAATGAAGATAAGAGATAATGAAGATAAGGTTTCTCCTGTAGATACTGGAGGTCTGTAGATGACTAAGGCCTACTTTCATACTTTAATTTGAACGTTTGGACTTAGTTGATTAAGACTGTGAATAGAAAATAATAATAACAAAACTGAAAATACGTTAAAAATGAAAGGCACATTAGTCGCAAGGACAATGCAATTGTCATTCTTAAAGAAGATACAGACAAATGTCATGAAGAAGGACATTTCATTCTAAGACAAACACTGAGGGTTACTTACTTCGAATTTTGTTATGATCAAGGTGAAGATGCTGCAGACGGGCACTGATTTGGGGAAATTTTGTGAGTCTATTGTGAGACAGTTGAAGATCTAGAATCGAGGACACATCAAAACCTCTTGATGGGAGGCCTGCATTAGATAACTTGTTGTGGTTTAACCTCAGGAAGGCCACTTTAGGAATGACATTGAAATAATTTTCTGGTATTCCTTCAATAGAATTGTTGTCCAGAAAGAGCTGCATTGTATTGGCTGGCAGTCTTGGGGGCATGTTCCTTAGGGCATTCTTGGCCATATTTAGTTGCATGAGGTTCTTGAGTCCTTTAAAGGTGTCTCTTTGAAAGGCACTGTCCAATAGCTTATTGTGCTGTAGATCAAGAAGGGTCAGGTTTTCCAGATTGCTGAAGGTTCCTTGAGGAATTCTGGACACCTTGTTCCTAGCTAATTGTAACTGCTCTAAACTTCTTGGCAGAGGGGAAGGTACTTCCTCTAGCTCATTGTCTTCTAGAAATAAGAAAAGCAGCTTCTTCAGCTGGCTTAGGGCTCCTTTTTCAATTCCATAGTTGGTTATTTTGTTCTTGTTTAAATTGATCCATCTCAGCTGGGTGGCGTTCACAAAAGGTTTCTCAGGGATGGTTTCTATCAAGTTGTTTTCAAGGTAAAGATACCAAATCCTTGCAGGAATAGGAGGGATTTCTTTGAGCCCTCGATTTTCACAGTATAAGGCAGTAGGGAAACTGGGAGGGCAGAAGCATTCTCTAGGACAACTGAAATCATGCACAGACCAGTCCTCTGGCTCATACACATCATAGGCCTGTCTCACACTTTGGGTCCATGCAGTGTCTGCCGTGAATAACACACAGATGAGGAAGGAGATTGTGGTTTCCATTATACTATCTATGGGATAAGAGATATCAGTGTTAGATATTTAAAGGTCTTGACCTTTAGATAATTGTATGCAGCAGGATGAGCAGTACACATTTCTACCTCAGCAGAGAGGTGAAGATATCAGCTAAGATATCAATTAAGACATGTTTATTTAGTGGACACCATGTGCTAACCATTTTACAAACTCCAGAGCTAAGTCAACTTGCAGCTTTCTGGTTTTAACCCAATCACAATGAAAGCTGAGAAATGGAAAATAAATTTTAGCAGCTCTAAGCGCTTTTCCATTTCAAGATATTTAATTCAAGGGACTTAGCTGAAACCAATAGTTGAACATAGGAGTCCCAGAAAATGATATTTTGTTCATTCAAATTGAGAGTCTATATGTTCATCAGAGACAGGCACATGTTTTTGCTTTTACGTCTAAATGAGCAGACCATCTGGAAGAGACATCCTGGGTTCTTTGGCCCTTGAACCAAAGAAACAAGATCAGGGGACGCTTCCACAGTTTATTGTAAAAGACAGTTCTTGGATCTGAAGAAAAGTGTGTCATTAATCTCCTGTTGCTGAACTCAGGTAAGCTGAATGTGGATGAGAGAAAGACTTCTATGATGTTAATTAGAAAATAGAGCTATTCAGCCAACAAGTGGAAATTTTTCTTAAATAATGATTTATATATATATATATATAATCATATGCATATATCCATGCAGACTTATATGACAAAGAGAGTTTATTACATAGAGATGAATATATTTCTTATGTAATGGTGGTACATTTCTGTTTAGCCATATTTACATTTCATAAGAAGCAAAACGAAAGAAATACAAATTTAGCATACAGATAGAAAAAATCTTTTATGTTAATATTTTCAGTATAAATCATAATAAAGAGCAAGTTAATACTTACTGATATGGGATACATTTAAAAGCCTTATCATCACATATCCCACTGCTTATCATCAGACAAAGAACTATTTTAACAGAAAAAAATATACATATGAATGATATATATATATATATATGTTTTTAAAATATATTTGTATGTCACATAAACATAAAAAATAACATTTTAATCAATGTACATTAAGTAAACCAGTTGCCACTGAGGACAGAATAAATTATACAGATTCCTCTGGAGAAAGATAAATAGACATTTAGGAGATGCTGCTCTTTGAATTTTGCAAGTAAATTGCAGAATGATGAATGCAGCCCTGTTTCTGCAAGCTGTCACATTTCCTACCACTGCAGAATGCTGCTCTGGCCATCTTCCAACAGGGACTCATTAGTTTTCTTTTCTCTCTTTATTTTTTAGAATAAGGATTTGCTTTAGATATTTAAGTCATAGCCCTACATGTGGCAAATCAGAACTTTACATTGTTAGCTTTAAGAGTTTTAAGAAATGCAAAATAGTTTACCTTGCCTTCCAAGAATATACTGTTGAGTCCTGGGTCTCAGTCTGCAATTTGCTAAAAATCAGTTCAGAGAAAAAAAAAATCAACTACAAATTGCTCTTTTACTTTATGCTGTCAAGCCTTCCAGGAGAAAAAGTCAAACCTATTCTGACCAGTCCCCAAGAACACCTTTGGATGTATTGTTTTCACTTTGCAAGGGCTGCAGAAGACAGCTTACCTCAGCCTTTTGGATCTTCTTCTTCCTTTGCTATTGGTCACCGCTTGCTCACGATCATGGACTGACCCAGGCACCACTGGTGCATTTGTGTGAATCCTCAGTAATATGTGCCTTCCAGTGGCTCCAACTTTAATCTCTCCAATAAACACAGCAGCTTGGTACCTAGGCAGCCCAGCAAAGGAAAGTCTTATTTTAATTTCCAGAAACTATAAAAGTTTTAAGGACAAGTTTCACTCCTAATTCACAGCTCCAAAGACAGAGTAATGTACTGATATATAGACCTGATCCAGCAGCAAGCAACTGAAGGCAGTTTTCATTTCAGCTATAACTAAAACAGATTTTTCTCTGGATGATCATCTTTTAAAAAAACAATTAAATGCACGGAAATAAAGGCCAGTAGCCTCAGTTTATATGGACATATTTTATTAGTTTCTCATATAAAACAGATGCTGAGATGTGTTTGATTAAGGAAAAAGAGATAGAAATACATATTTGAAAAATTTTACACTGTTATCTGAAAAACCATGCTCAGTTTTGCACTAACCTGGTAATATTCTATGTTTTATGGAAGTAATATTAGTAATTTATGGAAGTAATTTTTGTATGTCTATTTACTACCCTTCTAATAATTTATTCAAATATTTATTAAAGTGGGATAAATTTTACCCATAATATCACACATGTTTTACATTTAGTGTCTTACGAGGCCTTCTCTTGTATTGCTTTTTTTCTTTTCTTTGATATGTCTGAGCAAATATATCTTCCATTTCTCAGATTTAAGAAAAAAAAATGTTATTCGCCTTGAGGAAAGATGAAAACAGGATATATGTATATATTTTTCAAACAGTATTTTGTTGATTGTGATCATTTTGTTTTACAAAGTATATCTTGTGTTGAGGTCAGGGAGTTCAATTTAAATGTGTCATTCAACAAATCTCACAGAAATACTATCAAAGACAGCGCAATAAAGGGGAGAAAGCACCTGGGTCAGAGCTATCTTCCTTTTTCCCCCTCTTAACACGGGGCAGATAAATTAGAGGGTACATTTGTTATCTATAAAACAATAATGCATTACCTCACAGAGTTAGCTGTGGTTTGTCATAAATGACTATGAAAGTGTTAACTTCTTTTTGCTATTAGCACTGTACTCTCAGAAAAATGCAGTCATGCCCAAGGGCTTTTATAACTAACATGTGATTCACGCATCGTCCTTTGTAGCCTGGACTCACACTTGTAATACTCTGAGAAAACAATCAGTGTTATTTGCTTTCTCACAGCAATTCTCTGCTCTCACCCCTTCACCTTTTCATTTCTTCCTTTTCCCCTAGGATGTGAACAACAGATGAGCTTCAGATCTGCACAGTCCCTTCTACCATCTTTCTCTTCATTTTCTTTTTAGCTAAATTTAGTTTAATATTTTTTAAAATTTTATTACAAAAATTTGCTACCTGTTCAATGTGGAAAGATCAGAGTCGTGCATGTGCTGCCTCCAATCTCATTCCTCTCCACAATTCCGCTCAACGATCCACTCATCCAAACAGGGCTCCTGATTCTGTCACTTCACTAAAATGGCTTTGACCAAAACGGACACCGATCCTTACACGCACTAATCTGTTTGAACTGTGTCCTTCAGTAATACCGACCCGCCCCATTTATTAAATGCTCCCCTAGTTTCTCTGACATCGTTCTCTTCTAGACTTCCCTGTCCTTCTCTGGTAACTTCGTACCTTGAAGCTTCGCCGCCCCACCCCACCCCCATGTTTTTAACATTTTATTTAAAAAGAAATATTTTCTAGCATCTGGAGCTCTTTCAGAATCCGTCTTCTGTGTTCTTCTGGCCCTCTTCACATTTTATGCAGGATTACACGGTTTGAATCTCACCCTTCATTTTGAAGACTTCTGAATCCACATCTCCAAGCAAACCTCAGAACAGGATCTGCACCCCAGTGAAGTTTGTCTGTGTTTGAGACATCTGTTGAGCACTTGGAAGGCACACACTGAAAATGAGATTCTCTATCTCCGATTGTGTCTAACTTCTCTTATCACTTTATGTTTTTTAGTGATACTATCACTGCATTCAGTCTCCCAAACCAGAAATCTGGAAATCATTCTTCACTGTTCCTCTCATTTTGTGCACATATGGTAACAATTACTTTTTAATGATGCTGGGAGACATAAATAAAAATGACCTTCCATAACGCTTACCAGCTTTGGGTATTATGGCTTCCAGACTAAAAACAGAATATTTTCCACTACTAGGATAATCTTGTGATTTTCCTGCAACGACCTAATCTGCCTTCCATTGACTATCGATCCCAGGAAGATGAGACACCAGACAGCATCATGACACCTATAACACAAGTTCATAAAAGTCAACCTTATCTGACTACAAAGGGAGAGCGAGGAAACCTAAAGTCTAGTAATATGGTTTTGGCATGTCTCTAGTAATAAACTGATATTTTAGAAGTCGACGAGGCTTTGTACATAGTAGTTACTCAAAACATATTCATTCAATGAATAAACGAAGAAGTAAATATTTAAGGCATATGTATCATTTGTCATTCGTGATTTCTAAATGGGAATTCCTATGTAGGTAGGAAAATAGTGTCATGATCTATGTATATGGTTTAAATATGTTTGCACCTTGTTGTTTGACCTTGAATATGTCTACAGTAAGTGGGGCAAGTGCATTACAGGTGGACCTGTCTTGCTATGCAGAGCTACTTTGAAGATAAATGAGATATTAGGTGTGAACTTGTTGTATCAGTCCAAAACTTTTTGTATTGGAAAATGGTAAAGCTCTAGGAGACCTTAGAACTCATATATTCAAACTGTCTATTTTTGCTTATGAGGAAAATGACACCAGAATTTTGTTTCTAGCTGAGAAGGTAATAGTTGATTTTCCTCTGTATCTGGGAGAAGTCTTTGCAGAAATTTAAGAGAGGGAAAAGGTATAGTTGTTATGTTTTTTTTTTAACCTATTGTCTTCCTTTTAGCATTTTTAAATGTTTTATTTTGGCCCCTACAGATTCTATGAAAAGGGAAGCTGCTTTGCTAAGCCATTTTACAAGGGGGATACTAGATCAATATATTCCTGAAGATCACTGGTATTTCAAACAAGAAGGCAATGTGTGATGTGCTTCAAGCTACAAAACTCTACTAAGATTCTCCATTTGTTGCATGTGTGTCACACATGGACTAGAAATCCTTGGTTGAAGGATTGGGTGCTTCCAGGATATTTAGTTACCTGTTTGATTGAAATTTTGTTAGAAGGGATTGTTTTTCCTTAACAAAATTTTTGTTTTAACTGAATTGTGTCAAGTGGTTAAATGATATAAAAGGGAGAGATATATATGGCTTATACACAGGGACATAGTTTAAGATTTTGTCAAAACAGCGTATTCAAAATACTACAATAATACATTTGAAAGGTCAACAATATTCACAAAAATGACCATAAAGGAAATGATTACCCACCTCACTCAGAGCTAGCAGTATGAGCTGCACTTTCAGTAAGCCATTACTTCCAATTCTATCACAGATCTCGTATTTAATGTTTTCTAGTATTTAATTGTAATTTTGATTTATCAATTTTAAATATATCTTTCCTGGTTAGATAAGAATTTAGCATGGTTGCCTACCCCTGGTCCTCACCTTGCCTATGTCTATAATTTCTTATAAACATTGATTAAATAAATAAGGGACTCCTAAGTGAAATAAATAAGTCACACAGGTGTAAATCCCAAATAGTTTCTCTGGTGTGAAAAACTAATAGTACATAAGATCCTAATGAGATAATTGACAATGTAAAATAGGAAGAAAAGGGCTAAAGATGTACAGAAAGTGGGAAGGGTAGGGGAAAGGTAATAAGGGAAAATAAAAAATATGAGAAAATGAAGAAATGGAAATAAAGTATTTGTAAATGGGGAGGGGAGGAGGGGGTGAAGGGAGGGCAGGGACAAGGGGAAAAATGAGAACTGAGACCTGTCATGTAAAGGCACAAGATCCCAATGATGAATGCAACTGTACTGCATACCTAAAATGTACCATTAAACTCAATGAGAGAAAAAAAATAAGGGAAAATTTATATATAGTTCTCGTGAATTACGAAGTGACTTAAATATCTCATAAAGCACTAGAAAAGTGTAGTCTGCCAAATTAGCTTGGGCTGATGAGCAACAGAAAGTAAATTACATTGATGTAGGAAAATATAACTTTCCATAGAAAATATCTACCAGGAGGGAAAAATCAATGCAACTCATATATCTGATTTTATTTATAAACAATTTTTATAAAATTTTAAATGTCTTAAAATGTTAACTGATCTATTTTTACAACATCCCTATATAAAGACATAATTGTCCAAGGTTTCACTGGTGGTAAATGACATAGCGTGCATAGAACAGGTATTAGTTAGCTTCCCCACTGCTAATAAACACAGTTTAACGGCTGCCATACACAATTTAAAAAAGGAAATGATTTGTTAGGCTCACAGCTTTGGAGGTTTCACTCCATGATTGACTTCAAGGCAGAAACAGGGCAGAGGGTCATTTTAGAGAGAGAAAAAGACTGCTCAGCTGTCCGCATCCTCAAATCCTGCAACCAGAGGGCAAGAGCCAGAGCAGAACAGGGCAGGAATCTATGTAGTCCCTGTTTTGTACCCTGTGAGCCACTTTGTCCAGAGAGGCACTGTCTTCTGTTACCCATTTAACTAGAAGTTCATGAATAAATTAGTGACTTCTCAATGGAATCACCTCTCCAAGAATCCCTTACTCCAGTCAAATTGATAATCAAGATTAAGCAGAGTGCATCTTCAGTATAAGTATTCTTCACATGTCAACTAAGCATATCTATATTGATGAAACTAACTACAGTCAATCACACTGTTCCTACTGAAATGCTGTCTTTTCAAT